TGCTGAGATCCATCGTTCAACGCTGAGGCCATGTGCGATGTGAATGCAATATCTGCTACAGGAAACGAACTCACGATGTTAACCAGCCCAGCAACAAGGCCTCGGTATCTGCCACAGAACAAAAAATCCCAGTAATCTAGCCCTGAATATTCTGTCGGATACGTTTGAACTTCCAAATAGCGCGAGCACGAGTAGCATGGAAGAAACCGCAATGCGAGGAAGTCATCATTGAAAAGTTAGGCACAAACTCGATCCCTAGTACAGTGTGGATACCTCCAAAAGATTATACTAATAGCGCACTAACTTACAATAGGGTGGTGTTGGATAGAAGACAGATAACCAGTGCTAATCCATGCCAGATGAGTAATACAGCAGACTACTCAGTCACCTGTGCAGGTGTTCACCGGTTGGTAGATTATTGACTATTTTGTATTTGGCTTTTCACCTCTTATATACACAATGAATTGGAAGCTTATCGGATTATGTTACCCCTATCTAAGCAAAGCGCTTTAACATGAACTTTGCGAGCATGTGAGACATTCACGGTGACTATATGTTTTTTTACAAACGGCTTATTACTTCGCAAACTGCTACAACCTCAAAGCCTGAACTGCTTGAAACATTTGTTAGGTTCACGAGTCACAAGTATTCTGCAGTGAGTGGGAGTTCTGTGACAGCGTCCTACTTTGTGAAGGTACAGATCCCAATGTTCGCTTCATCTGGGTAAGTCAACCATGTCACGAATATCAATGGGTTGCGCCACGTGCTTGTTAACTGACTGAACAAGAAACGCCCAAACTTCCGATTAATTATGTCAGCAGGTATGTATGTCAGTGTATTATGTTCATTACCGTGAAAGTTTTAACCAGCCGTACTGAATGTTCTTTCAAGAACAGTGGCACCCAACTTTGTTACCATGCCCTTTGGCCCAAGTTAGTGCGAATTAAGCTCCAAGATCTCCAGCAATCCCTGGTGCATCCGAAAAGTCGGTTCATTTGCTTACTCTCTGAACAATCACTGAATGAATGTCCAAAGATTTCCAGAAACCTCACTGGCTTTACCTTTTCGCAACTGTTTTTCACCAGTTAGCCGAACAACTGAATTTTAGCGTAATACATTTACTTGCAAACCAATTTGGTTTTGCGGGAGACTCAGCTGGAATCCAGCTAAATTCCTCGTTTATGATGTTTTGAATTAGTTTCAACAACCCCCGAAAACTGTTCTTAACTAGCCAGTGTGCAACCTACAAACGATCTTGTCCCAAAGAATGAAGTTCCCTACGTCCTTGACCACAGCATAAAACAAATTTACTTTGATAACTTACACATTAGCCCAAAGGAACCCAGAGACGGCCCGTGTGTCACACAGAACACAAACAAGTTTTCATTCGAACCCATAGTTTAGTATATCAACAAATAATTTCACTGTCATGGATTTTGAATGACCCACAAACGAGCCTTCGAGGCTATCCGAGGCACAGTGTTCATCACCTGAAGCAATATGCTGAAGTGCACAGCCTACACATCCAGTGAACCAGCTCTGTTGCAGCTAAAAACCTTTACTCCACACGCGAACTAACAGACCACAGGTGCCATGCGATGAATGCACTTTTCATCAACTCAGCGCACACAAGGCATCTGCACACACGTACCTGTGATCAAACGATGTGACTAACCTGAATAGTAATTTTTGAAAACATTTTGTTCATGAAAGTGAATGCTCCTTATATGACAGTTCACGTTGCACTCTGTTTTTGCTCACTGTTCAATAGGGAACAACTTTTGATAGGGAAAAATCATTTTCTCCAGGGGCTGATAGCATGGTGGAAGGTATTTTATTGTTGGGACACTGCGGTTGCATTACTGAACACTTTCTGCAGCACTGAATTTCTTCTTCAGTGGACGTACCTCATGGGCTTCATCCAGGACCGCGGCGTTGACTAGAAAAACATGAGACCATCGAATGCGTCACCAGTATGCGGACCATTCTGAAACTCGTGAAGCCAGGAGAAAAGCGCTCCCCGAAGTCTTGCTTTCAGTTAGTCACTGTGTCACGAAACTTTTTGTTAGCTTGCCGGTTTTCTTGGCTTATAATATCCTGTTGCCGTTTCCACTGCCGTTGGTGTTTCTACATTTCTGTAGTTGTTATTTCATTGTTTTTCGTTCACCATTTATGAAGCTGCTGGACTGATGCTGGATTGACTGAGATTGCGTCTCATGTACTTAAATTAGTATTTTCCCTTGAACTGTGTGTTTAGCATGTTATTCCTCGAAGATCTCACTAATGTCCTTGTATGCTAGCTTCTGATATGCAAAAACAACGAGTGCTTACGAAATACGACATGTGCTTTGAAGATAGAGGAGAAATTCCAAAGAACGACAGAATCACCGTGTTGTGACTTGTTGTACGGTCGTGCAACTCTGTGTCGGTCCTTGGCTCCTTGCTCCCTCCACCATGGTATATTCAAAGGCACGGGGGCTTCAGACAGCCCTTTGTGGAAACAAAGGGAGATTATTACAACTGCGTTTATAGGGTAATCACAGAATGTTCAACAAGGTCGTTGTAGAACCTCCGTGAGCGGGTGAGAAGCGTCGAGCTAAAGATGCTTGATCTAGATTGACTGGTGAATATACACTCATCTGCAAATAATTTTGTTTTTTTCGAGATACTCACCTGGAACCCAGCTGAATCTCTCGTTTGTGATGGGCCCAGGCAACTGAATGTGCTGCACCAGGCCGCCTCATGTTTCAGTCGCTACGATATTCGAGATATCGCGATACATGTATATCTTTGTAACATACTACTCATAAGGTTGCTGACGGTCCCTACAAGATCTCTTAAAATGTGCTGTTTCTCAGGTCCACAGCATCATCGCTGAAGCTCCGTGGGGTTGCATTCCATCTACTACTCTTTTTCTACTAACCGTGAGCAGGTTACATTCATCCACCTCTGGTCGCATCAAGGCATTCGCTGGGGATGCTACTTTTTCCTCCCTCAATCCTTATTGATCACAATGATCTGCCTTATCTCAGTTAAGTGAGGGCTGGGTGCATACCATCAGCAGACTGACTGGTCCCAGCCTACATTCCCAAATTGTTCCCTTTTTGGTTTAAACCAATTATGGCTCAAGTCTCCAGAAATATCTGATTTCTATTCCGTTCCCAAAAATTCTTCCCCCTCTCAAGTATCTAACACATAAACCTCATATTCGTTCCTCCGTGAAATACCATTGTCATATCTGGACTGTAGTCTCTCCCAGCTAGATTCCAGAACCAAGTTCAATGAAAGACCGTGCACTTCACTACTTCCTCCACCCTGAACGGTGTCCTTCAGCTCCCTTCCCACGGTCCAAACGTACGCCCCCTTTTTATTCAATCGCTGCCACTACAGCAAAGGTTTTGTAATCTTATCTGTTCCACTTCTCAAGACAGGTGTTTGTGCGCATTTGCTTCTAATGCCTTTCACTTATTATCCTCCGCAGAGAAATATCCTCGTTTTCACTTTAGAAACGTAGGAATCGTGTGCTCTTCCAAATTCCCTACAATACTCAGCTATTCGGGACAGTGCAGTTCTGACTGTATATGTTATATGACTGATTGCTCGTCCTTCATGTCTTTTACAGTAGGGACTTACCACACGGTGTCTATCCCCAGGGGTTGCCGAGCACATACCATCCTGAAAGCGTCCTACAAACCGAACCATGTGACAAGTGCGACTGCCGCCCATGTGACCGATAATGATGACTAGACTAGTCCGGCCGAATCGTTCATTGTGATCTGTTGAGCTTCACCAGTGTTATTTAGGGACTCAATTAGTCTTCATTATCGCGACTGAGTGAATGGCTGGTTTGAGTGTGGGCTTTCTCTTCTGCCCACTCGGCTGGAAGGCTTTTGAGACGTCCGATTATGGCTCTCCAGAGCACTGGTCAGTTTGATACATGAGCTGGGTGCTCCGCTATTGTTCTGTTTTATCCATTGAAAAATGCAACAGTCGACCGGCGCCTTAATGCCCGCATTTAAGGAAAGTTATTTAGCAACTGCAGAACTACTAAATGGATGTGTTAGCTGGGAAAAACCTTGGGAACCTCTTTCCAAATCCTGTAACACGCTCATAGCTTACGTTTTTTAGTCGAGAATGCTGCTACTATCCAGACACATCAAAGCGCCTCAACTGACTGAATCCGTGGAATGTGGTAGTAATGTGGCTTATTCGCTTCAGTTGACATTGAGGAGGACTTTTGGTGCCTGGTTATACAGGACAGACTCGTCAGGATGTGGTTTAACGGCAATGCGGGAACAGTTATTTATGGCGTCTCGCTGCAGATACCATCTGACTATGTAAGCCGGATAGCAAGAAATCACGGCGAAAAGTGACTGGAATGAGATTTCTCAATTTCTCCCCGAACGTGCCATATGAAGCCTCTTCTTAATTACCAAATTTCAGTTCAAGCGTTCGACAGGGTGTGACGGGAATTTTAACCGTGATCAGCATGAATCCTTTAAGACAGTCATGTATGTAGGCAGCTAGGACACTGTAACAAAGTCAGAAACTTGCAGAACGGCCTTCAGATCCAGTCATAATTGAAAGTGCTATCACAAATCAATCACCTTTGCAGTGCCCATCAAGACTGAAGTAAGAACAGAGGATGAAAGGACTCGCAACACTTTGCACTCTGATATCACGAGAAGTAATTGCACCGTCCGGGACTTCAGTGTATGTTGTGTTACCTCCTGATGCAACATTCAATTTTGTTGTCCGAGTACCTCGATCCGTACGAAGACTCTGTGTGTGTTTGGACTCTGGGTAGATCACACCCAGCTCAGGAAAATCGGTTGGTTTCTCATAACAACTTACTGGTAGGTCTACACTGATAGTGAAGAGGGGAGAATCAGGAACCACAAAATCTCTTGAATATTTGTGAGAATTCTGTTCCCTCAGTGGTGGATTGTATTGCAAAAAATTGATTGCAGTGGAGTTTTCCCCATTCTGTTTCTTTTCAGGCGATTTTTTATCTGGTTACATTTCAACACTTCATGTACACGCTGAAAATGCTAGCCAGGATTCACCTACCTGTGGGAAGGGTTAGGACCGACACATGACTCCCGCAAGTCTGATAAACCAGGTCACTATATTTGACAATGAACTGCTGCCTACTAAAATTATGTTTTGAGCATGTCAAACAAAACCACTGAATGTTAGACTATGGGAACATGTATAACAAGTGTGTGAGTCACTAGCACGTGGGATGTCGTTCCTCGGCCTTGTCGTACATACACGAATACAGACCAGACCATGAGCTACGGCCACAGATACTGCAGAATCAGGGTGCCTGCGCAGCGTCAGACTTATCGAAAGTGACACATGACAGAACAGCTAACCAACCATAACGCTCATGCGATATCAGCTCATCTGAAAAGCTGCGCCTTTCAATGATCCCGTGTATTCCGTTTCTGTTGACATTGTGCGCTAGACTCCGTAAAGACCACTGTAGTGTATCGATTGTCACAACTTCCGTCTAGTTGACCCATTTAAGTTACCTGACGATGACTCACTGCAGTTATGACTTACTTTAATGGCCTGTGCAAAAAAAACTGAATAAAACTGTCTCATTCTAAGAGTATTTGAAACCCTGTTAACATATTCTAAAATCAGGATTCATTGCTGAGGCGGTAATGCAAAGACTAGAGCGTGTGGTACTGCCGATCATCAATCCAAAGCTGTGGACCCGCTACGTGGACGACACCTCTGTCATCATGAAATGGGACTCAGTACACGAATCGAACTAGAAAGAAACAATCGACTACCATTCTTGGACGTCTTAGTGAACAGAAAGGTGGATGGGACTCTGGAAACATGTGTATACCGCAAACAGACTCATACGGACCAAATACTGAACTACAACAGCAATCACCCAGTAAGCCACAAAAAGAGCTGCGTCCGAACCTTGTTCAAGAGGGCGGAAGCACACTTCAGCACCACAGAACTGCGGAAGAAGGTAGAAAGCCATCTATTCAGAGTGTTCTAGAAGAATGGATATCCAAGGAGTTTTATCAAGACAAGCTTGAAGAAGAAGACATCTCAACAGCAGCCACAACAAGAACAAGCCATCAGACGGGTAATCCTACCTTACATCAAGAATATATCAGAACTCGCAACCAGATTATTGGCTCAAAAAGGAATCATCGTGGCCCACAAACCGAGTGCTACTCTAAGGAAATCAATCTCTAGACTGAAGGACAACCGGGACAAAACCAAGAGGAACAACGTGATATACCAAATCGACTGCAACGACTGCAACAAATTCTACGTTGGACAAACTCGGGGGCAATTATGTACACGAATAAAGGAACACAACGCTGCTGTCAGGAGGCACGACCCCCTATCCTTGGTATATATACACGAGGACCAGGAAGGCCACAAATTCAATCTGGAAAACGCAGAAATTTTGGCATACGGAGACACGTGACACGGAAAGGAATTTCTGGAAGCATGGTACCATGCGGCAGGTTCAATCAACCGGTGCATCCAACTGGATCCAATTTACGCACCTCTACGTGCAAAAGACTAACATCGCAACCGGAACACTCAAGGAGGACCGAATAATGGACTCACGAAGGAAGAAACAAGGAACTCCTCGGAGTCAAATCAATAAAGGTCACAAGCCGGAACTCGGAAGGACAAAGGTCACTCCAACATCGACCAGACTACGACGGCGAGGGATGCCAAGTTCAAAGGTCACGTGGGCGTCGGCGAATGAGGACACGGGATAAAAGAACAACCAATGGAACCGTCCGACCGAATAACTAACCGCGGTCAAAGGTCATCCCCGGCTACCAGCACGTATATCAACACACACGTAACACTACTGAACGCACAACCACTAACCCACCGCTACGCACAACTACGCACTGATGATGTCACCTCGATTGTTGATGAAACGTTTGCAACCAAATTGCCCAGCTCAGCGACACAAGCCAACGACCATATTCTAATCACTAAACTCAACCCGTGTATTCAACCAGTTTTGCAACAGGACTCAAATACAATGTTTTCAAACCTTTACGTTATGATCTGGTGGAGGGAAAGCCGATTCTTGATTCCCGAAGGCTAAGGAAATAGACATTTGGTCTGTCACACAACACCAACAAAATTTCAACATTGTACGAATAAGCTGCCTTCGGACTGATTGCAACACATCATGTCAACAAGTTGGTGTGACGATTATCAATTTCACTTTTCATTTGCTGTAAAACCTACATTGGCAGAACTGACCGAAACCTCGAAAAAGGTGCTTTGATTTTGGAGTAACCTGAATTGAACAATTTTCTGGGATTCAGAACAACATATAAAAATCAGCCTTATCGATTGCATGATATTCAAGCCACCGACCAAAACATCATTCTGGATCTTGCTTCACAAGCTTTATCCGAAGCTGTGAGCATCAGTTAATCAATATCGGTCAAATTTATGTACACGAAAGACGATGACTTGTGCATTTTAGCTTGTCTTAGAAGTAAGACGACAGTCTGATTCGTTCACATATTAACTGAAATACATCGTCGTATCTGAAGTTCACCTATCCGGAAGAACCAAGAGGTATTTTTCATTCTTATTACGAATCCCACACATCTCCACGAAGCTTCGAACTCACAACCTCCACTACGAGTGTGTGATTAGTCCGCTCGTACAAAACATGGAGCGCTACTTCTCTATCAGCCATGGATTCTACATAACATGTTCAGGTGTATACTGGATCCTCGGGTGGCGGTTTCTCAGATGAAAGATTCACCCGTTGTGTGAATTATTCCTCCCGTGAAGCCACTTTTCGGCGGGAACTAACCTCACTTGCAAGACGAAATCTCCAGTAAAAAATTCCCAAGTCTCGTATCAAAAACTATAAGTAGCTTAGTGAAAGACAGTGATACAATTCAATAAAGATAGGTTGGTGCATATGACTACCATTTGTTTCTGGAATCGTTTCTGAAATAGAAAAATATTCTAGTTGTGTTTTCATAAAGGAAACTACTCACAAGGTTGCTGAAAACTTTTCGACAGCCCACGACCGGTCTCAGCCCTAGTTTTTGAGCTGAATTCTACCTGTTGATGTTCTTTCGTAGTTGTATTGTGCTCATGGTACCTGAGTTGGCTGACATTACAAAATAGTGACCCCTAAAAAGATGGATGTCAAACCCACCAGTGCTATTTGCAGCGCGTTTGGATGCAAAACCGTCGGTGACCAATTAATCTACGCACACAATGTTCACACAGTCGTTTCGTAGAAGGTGAGGAACGAAATCGCATGAAGCATAGTCATCTGATTGCTGTATTTTCCGCTCCCTGTTCCCTGTTCAGTATTCTGTGCTCTTTGTTCTATGGAGTCGAGTTGCTCCGGTGGAACACGGTTCTTGTAGCTGGGCCAACATCAACAGAATACAGTTTGCCTACTCACAACAATGTTCAGTAGTTAGGGTGCGGCCGACAAAAATTAATGGGGATCACCATCTCAACTTGACCCGCTCCTCCGGTACTTCCGGAAAACGAATAGACTAAGTCATAAAATTTCGACGGAGCATTTCCATAAAAGCTACTCCAATCACGGCGGTCATGGATCTCACGAAACTGACGTTTTTTGGTTGAGTAGAACAGGTTAAGCTAGGTTGGTAAGGTTTGTCACCGTTAGACTTGATTCTGAGCCCGTAATGCAAACAACCACATTTAAGGTAATTATGGAAGCCTCCACCCATCTCAACCCACTAATCCATACTGCCATGTATAATGTGGAGCTCAGACAGAAACTGATCCGACCTCAATCTTCCTTCAGAGGGAGGAACTCATTGGCTCCAAAGCACCTGGTGCATACAAAAGCCGTGCTAATCTGGCTTCAGTTAAGAACACTATGTACCAAAATGATCATGTAGCCTGGACACTAAACTGAATAATTCAGTGTGCTGAATATTTCAGCACCCCTTAGTGACACGTTATTCGGTTGATGACCAAGATCTTTGTTGTGATTCCGGAAAGGATTTCTCGATAACTAGTTCACTACGTGGATAAAAGGGACTGATGAATCACCCGAATATACATATCTGTTGCACCTTGTTATGGAGATAAGTTGGCTGTATTAGCTCCCTCAATCTATTTGACCATCGGTCTACTGGCCATAAGTATAGCAAAGCACTCTTAAATTAGGTCATATTCTGAAGGCAGTATTGATTAGTTCATACTCGTCCTGTAAATGTTCTCCAACTGTACATCTAGAAATCCCCATCGGAACTGCGTGTAACTTATCGGTGATATCCTGATAAAGAAGCTTGAAGGTTTCCGGGAGAAACACATACTGGTGTGTTGTTCCCCCGGGAAGGCAAATGTCAGGCCGTTACCGAGTGGTAGCAGAAGGTGTGTACTTAGTAGTGGGACATTCACTTAGCAAATGGAATCTAAAGCTAAGTTAACCTGCCAAATATCCTGGACTGACCATATGAGCTGTTTTTTTTGCTAAGATTTAGAAACCACCAGTTAAATTCTAATGAAATATCAACGTTTGAAATTAACACAGTTCAGCAACTTTTGTTTGGAATAAAAAGGTGTCAAGACCTGCGGATATTCACTTTTTCGGGATCCAACACAAGGTGTGCATATATAAAGAAGATTACTGAAAGATATGTGATCCAAAGCAACACAAGGTGTGCATATATAAAGAAGATTACTGAAAGATATGCTGATCCAAAGTATGTGCTCTTCGGTACAACAATGACGATCCGTCTGGTGATCATGTAAATGACAGTTGCTGACCAAACATTCCCAGATCCTTGGAATTGAAGTGAGCAGTGAGATTTTAAAGAATGCTTCTTATGCAAGACCGAGCAGATTAACAGTCACCCTTTTGATTTGACTGTCCGCTTTTCCTCAATGTGTAATGCCGTATAGGGCCTAAGCGACTGTTGTGATATACTCGAGATCAGTTCCCGCGTGAGCATAATGCAAGTGACTGTCTTATCAGTTCGTGCAGTCAATTACGTCCGATATGCTGTCACAATCACACTGCCTTTCTGGTTTGGACCTGGAGTCAGCCAAAACATTTTATTACGAATGACACACCCAGGAAGCACGAAATACCTTTAGAAACACTGAACAGGTGTGAACTTAAACACTCAATTATAAAGTAATATGGTGTTAACAGGAGACTCAAATGAAACGCTCTTTCGTGACAGTCTTCAACTGGATGAGTTGCACAGAGGCCGCCAAATGTTCCACTTGGGACTATATCCAGAACATCGGGATATTCTCCTGGATATGTATTTATTTATGGGATCTTCATTCAGCACATTCAGTTGAACTTGTCAATAACACCAGTTTAATTTGAAAGTGAGTGTTTAACCCCATATTCGTACAATCTTGAGTTTAATTAAGAGATCTGATTGACAGAAATTACAGAACTAGGCCTACCTGATGGGTTTCCAAAAAGGGACACACGTAACAGGCAGCCGAAAAGTTTTCGTAAACCTTATGAGTAATGTTATCTGATGTAGGCATGGATTGTCTGCCTGCTCTTTAGAGTTATCACCTAATCTGCGGAAGCCACACTTCAGCCTCCCACAAAATCCCTACCACAAACTTGGCATCTACAGTCTGGCTCTTCTCTTCGTGCTTTACACCAGCAGTAAACTAGTTTATCAGAGCAATCCGGACTACATACCACGTCGTCCTATTAAAAACTGTAGATGTAAGCCACGACTCAATTCAATTTCTTTTGGCGATGCTGGCAAATTCATCGAATGACCTTTTCCCACTACTGCTGGGCTAAACTTACTAAATGCTGTGTGGTTCGAACATGAACATTCAGTTCGATAAACCCCGCTTGTTTATAGACTCATTAATTAAACTGAAGCATAGACATAGAAGATATAGTAGTCTTCCTTCTGCCTTATCGGAATTTTTCTTCCAATTCAGCAACTTACATATATATATATATATATATATATGTTTGCATCGAAATCTATGGTAATTTCTTACTGATCTCTTTGTTTCCTCTACAGTTTTGTGAATACTAAGGCTTTGTTGCATACCTGTATTCGATCTTGAGCAGGTGCTTATCCGCGTGCCATGTTTTCGTTTCGTCCAAAAGGGGTTAGGCAATCATGCCCTTTGTACAAAGTTTGAAGGCTTCGCTCAAGCTTGAGAGTGACTGATAACGTACAACTGAACATCACTAACCCACTAGTCACATGCCTTGGAGTTGCTCTTCAATTTGCAATAAAAGTAATCCATGACTCATCGGCGAACTACTTGTTTCCACCATTTACCATGATCTTAATAATTCGGAACTTTTCGGGCACGGCGTTCACAACAAAACAGACTTGGGTGAGTCCAAGTTCTACACGATAGTGTATTCAAACATTAACATACAAATTTATTTTCCTTGAGTTGAAGAGTTTCGGAGAACTCCAAGGAAAACGGTGTTCTTGATAGCAGTTCGTGTACCATATCATCACTTGACTGCTCCACGTAAACCGATTCAATAGGATCTTACCACATTTACACAACGAACCTATCTGGCTGACAGCACACTGTCACAGAGTAAGGTGCTCATTAAGTGAACAGAATCGGCACTAGCTGGAGTCAGTCATGTGATGACAGGATTTGGTACTCTCAGGAATGCATATTCGATTGCCAAACTAGGATTTATGTCACAAGTTTATTGTGCACCTTAGATCGACAGAAACGAGAACATTTAGCTCT